TGAATGAGGTGAAAACAGGAACTACTGACATGCAATACAGAGACATTTCAGCAGCTGTTAATAGAGCTGTTAAACAAGCCTTACAGGATCATCAGCAGAGAAGTAGTAGTTATGTTGTAGTAAACACATTACTTGAGTCAGGATATATGCTGAAAGACTATACAACTGCTGTAACAATTTTCTCACAATCCGAGATTAATACAACATCAATAATACATTAAAACAAATACATATAACTACCATGCAGCAGCATAATATGTTCATATGAACCTAAATATAGTTAATCTTTCTAGTTTCTGTAACCTTGTGTCTGTTTTACTTTCTTCAGAGCCTGGGCATATGAAATTCCTTTATCCATTCTCACATTTTGGACTTTCACTGCATTCTTCCTCACTAAACATCCTCTATATCCTGCACTGTGATCTCCTCCACAATTACAGAGATTGGAGATTTTATTCCCAGTGCCATGTTGGCATTTGTTGCCTACTATCTTTACAAAACAACATCAATTTACCATTCCTCAATATCTTAATACTTTCAATCGCCCCTATAGTTTCTTTAAGTGTTTTTGTTAGTTTCAAATGGTTAACTGACTCGGAAACCAACTTCAGCAGTAGATAGACTGAGTACAGTAGAGACACTTTCTGCTTTTTTCCATCACTACACAAAAACTAGAAGCTGAAATGAAGTGATTTTTCACATGATATTTATTTTGCTTGTGTACTAAAATATCATAAATTGATAATAGCCATAAGTAGTTTATATTTTCCACAATTAGCTCATAAACATAAGGTGCATTTTTGTCTCAACTGTACCCATATGGTGTAGATGAAACAGTACCATGGTACAGTTGAGACACCCATTCTTAATGCTCTAAAGCTGGCTAACCATTTATTGCAAAAGTAATAAATTACAAAATGACTGTTTTAAATAATTGCAGTTTAAAAAATACATTTATTTATTTGCTTTATTTAATTCAGATTCACTTAAACAAAATGGGAACAAATATGTAACACTAGAAAATATATGGCAAACAGTACAAATGTAAACATAACAGTAAAAAAATAACAATATACATACCTATATATTCTAGAACCCTACCCCTAAACCATACGCATCACTCGAAACTTTCTGCATTTCTACATTTTCAATCATTCTGTATGATTTATAAGCTTGTTTCATCATGGGGACCTAAAAAAATATTCCCATAAGGTTAGAATTTACTGGTATTACTATATTATACTAAAAAAAAGTGCACTTCCATACTTAAAGTGCTCTATTTTCTATAGAGCTAAAAAAAAATTATACAAAAAAATATTCTTTAGTACTTCTTAAGATAATCTTGCAAAATCTAAGTGTACTCATCTGTGCTATTGTGGGACACCATGAATATGAACTAAAATGTGATTTTAACATACTTTCTGTTTTTAAAATATGTATTTAGTTACCACCTGTAGCACACTTGGATCAATATCTAAAACAATGATGAATGCACATAATGACAACAATGTAACCTGAAATGCCATTCAGACAAAACAACTCATTGCAGTTGTAATTAAAACCACCACCAGGTGTTGTTTTGTCTTGCAGCACTGTAGCAATTCAGAATATGCCCGTTTCCATAATTCCAGGCGTTGTAATGTACCGTGAGCTCTAGAGAGATTCCCAGATGAGCAATTCACTGTACATGTATATATGAATAAAGTCCTCTGCTGGTAGCTGTAATTATTGTAAAGGTAAATGCTGCCCCCTAGACTCTAGAGCACAGAGAGTGTAACTGTCCCAGTAATGACAGCAATGTGTGTATGGATTTAACATAATTTCTAAAAGGAGTCCACTGCAAAATCAGTCATGTTTCAGAGGGGGAAAAATACAATTTAAAAAAGATGAACCACAAAAAATACAATTTACATGTGTTGCCATGAAATGAATGTTTGCAACCATTTAGGTGTTTGATGAGCCTGCTAGTACCTTTAAAGCAGCATTCAGGGAAATTTCCACTCCACAACGTTTCTTACTTTGAATTCTGACATTTGGTGCTCACATAGATGTTCTCATTTAGTGTTTCCAACTGACATTTCAACAGTCCTTCCCATCCAACAAAAATATGCTCTAAGAATGTTGTGCTAATGTTTATGTTGAGTTATGAAAAAAATTATTTCTGCATGTTTCAAAACGTTCAAAACATTAAGTTTTCTAAATGTTTTAGATTTTTTTTCTTTTCTTGGTTATGTAACATTTTGGAAACATTCCT